CTTACTGGGACTTACTGCTTCAGATGTTCGCAGATCGGGGTTGGAGCGTGCAGGGCATGAGGTCACCGTTGGGTTTCGGGCTTGGGGATTCCGAGGTTGCAAGTAGGGTTCGAGGATAAGCCTCATGTGCAGGGCCCTGATATTCTAGCACCAGGTGCACTAAGCCACTGAAGCCTGTCTACGTGCTTACGGACCTCCCTAGCACGGCCAATGTAAGAAGAGACATGCGAAGAAGGTTTCTGCACGACCCTGGAAGGAATCCTCCATTTCACAGCTCCCGATCGCCGCAAGTCGGGATCATTTGCAGTAGCCACGAGCAAAAGCCCACGAAAAGGGGACAGGCCCCCAAAAAGGCAGTGGCTTCGGCTTCAGCTTCCACGACCGCCCGAAACATCGTCTGATGAAAAGCAAGCGAGCGCTGACACAGCAGAGACATACGCAAATAAGTGAGAGTTTGATTTATGTGGACATTCACCCAAATCGCCATACAAATCTACACACACTGCATGCTGCACATGCTTTTCCACAATACCGCTACTGCTCGAAGCGGTGCTCATGAGCTCGAACACCATTGACCAGGCGTGTTCCATGACTCGGGCTTCTTACAACCGTCTAATCGGAATATTCTGCAACAGGGACCACCAAGGGGACCGTATCTTTGAACAACCCACGGAAACGGAGGAAGAGGTTTAGTAAGCGTGCGCTACCCTGCGACAGCTCCCAATAGAGGCCAAAGGGGAAGCTACCCTTAGTTCGGAAATCGGGACGTCTGAAGATTTTGTCATGTGACAGATTGCAGATTGGTGTGTGACCTTCCTGCACTCCTAAGTGTACATACTGGGGGCCGAATCCAGCCTCCAATGCCGAACCTCTAAACCGACATCCTCAGGTCGTGTCTTCTTCTGGAACCTGCCAGCACCGCGAGAGAGCGAGATGGCGAGGAAAGATGGGCGATGCTGTCGGTCGTGAAAGTGCTACTTGTACCGAAGGCCTGCCATGCGGTGCTACTGCTCAGGTTGATCTCGATTTGGTTGGGCTAAGAGGAACCCATGCACAATGATGGCTCGTTTCTTCCGATGTTATCAGCCGGCATCCAAAGTGCTTTTGGCTACAGATAAGTATGAAGCAAGAAAGCACGCACAGTATCGCAACCGGGGGTAAGTAGAAGCAGTAAATGGCCTCAAAGGTGGGGATGTGCCGTCTGTGGCTGTCGTGGCTGATAAACATGGAGATTTCGTCCAGTGCCGGGTCGAACGGCCTGCAATACTCGGAAGAAGGTAAGATTTCAGTTCGAGTTTTGTGGTATTGAATTGAAACAGGACCCTACTCAAGCCTTTCTCGCTGCTTACGGGCAAACATAGACCCTCCAGATCCCGCTAGCTTGAGAGCACTTCAGCATGTGTGCTCTGCGTTTACTTTGGGGGAGGCGAAGGGGCGAAGGGGCCAGGACTGTTGAATCGATGTAGGCATACTGTCTCTGGTAAATGCGAGAATCAGAAGTTGCGGCTCTTTTTGCTCAAGACTTGCGGCCATGCGGGCGACCTGGACAAGGTACTGGCCAGTTGGGACGACATGCAGGCCTGCCGCAGGGACCTTCTTCATTGTGAATCAATCAAGCTTTGCTTCCTTGTTTGGCCAGGAGCAGGGTGGATTGGCCGTCTTGCAAAATGGAGAGCTGCTGAAGGCCGCTTGAAGATCCCAGAAACATCTGTATGTGGATCTCTGCTCAGGCTCTGTGCATCTTCGATGACAGGAAAGAGCGACGCCTCGAGCTCGTCTACAATTCTCTGCTGGAAGGCACCTTTAGCTGCCGCGTGCTGTGTGCGTGAGCATGGCCTGGGGATCCGTGGTTTTGGATGCAGTGTGCAGGTATGGTTGGCATCCTAAAGGCTGCGTGAACAGGCCGATTGCAGTTGTCTTTTGAGCTGTGGTAGATCGGGATGTCGACCGTAGCCGAAGACTCCGGTCACGGGCGCAACATCCGACCTTCGGCGGTCTCCGCCAACATTCTCTCAAGGTGCGCGTGACCTTCAATCCAAAGTATGGTTCTCCTCTGTTACTCGTACCCTCTGCAGCACTCTAGCCCAGCATCTTCATGCTGTGGACTGGGCACAGAGTGTGGAGGCTTTTCGAGCGACTGGGCCGCTCGAACATGATCTTATGCTCTTCTAAGAAAAAGTTGTTTGAATCTGGTAGTAAATGTTTGTCTTTGTGTAGATTGTTAACATTGTATGGTTCAATATGAATCATGTGGCAAGTTCTGACGCGGAAGATGGAGTTCAAAAAAGAATGGAAAATGTATGAAAATAGTTTGGGAAAGTTGTTGAAAGTTCTCTCTCTATCGTTTGCGATATTGCTATTCTGTCGAAATTGCGTCTAAGTGGTAGCGTCGTTGTGTGGAAACATCTGGTCAACACAGTGCGATTATTATCTAGTAGGGGTGGTCAGGTTAATACATGAAAACTTGTTACGATTGACAAAAGACACTCAGGCGCCACCGCGCCACTTCTTTAGAACACGTGATGCCGCACACCAGCGCAGCTTGCTTCGGAGGTGACCATCATCCGCACCGAGCGGATCGGGAGTTGGAAGGCCCCCTCCCGTAGTTGCTGACAAAGCAATTCATCCGCTGCGCCTTGGGTCTTCGCTTCTGGGCTTTGCTGCAGGCATGGGCAGATGCATATCCCAAGTGTAAAGCTGTGGTCGCAGAGGCTGGTTTCCCACTGCGCCTGTGCTCCGCTGCTGCATGCTTATCACCAACTACTCCCACCTCGTCGAGACGCGAGTAAATCATGGCCAGGCAGGCTGAAGAAAATCCAGTTCGAGATTTTCTCCGCAGATTTTGTCGTGGACACTTTCGGAGGTGTGGCATCGCGCATAGCAAAGGTCTTCGAGTTCAACATGAGCCCGGTGCTCAAAGACCCCAAAGACGCCCCGAAGGTAGGGCTCAAGAATGACTCGAAAGTCTGGCAGATGCGGAAAGCTCATGGACACATTCAGGGACTCTGTGCCAGGTGAATGATGCAAACATGGTGCGTGGTGCACTTTCCATTGCTTCGGCCTGAGACAGCTGAAGTGTTCGGGAGGCTTACATAGTAGGGGGATGTAGGAAGTGTGTATGAAGATCGATGTACAAAGATGTAAAGTTCATCCAGTGCCTTTTCAGTGCTTACGCTGTCGGCTTCGGGATGTCTCCAGGTGGAACCTTGGAGCGGTGGCAGCCCTGGGCTTTGAGATTTCATGGGCCACAAGCCACAGCCCAAGGCCATGGCTGCCTGCTGATATGACTTTTTTCACTAATTTGTTAACAAATCTTGCGTTTTTTTGGGGGAAGCCTGATCGTTGCGGGCCCTGCTGCATGCAGCTGCAGCGCGCGCCGAAGCATGCAAGACGAACGCGTCGGCAGCAAACCCATCAGCGTCCCGGACGTGCGGGCAGGACTGATGCGCCAAATGTCTGCGACTGCTAATGCAAGATTCGTCAGCCCGTGGGAAGATTGAAGTGCAAATCAACGAATAGCGTCTTCATCTAGATTGCGCCAACACCCGACGCCTCGTACGCAAAAGCCACTTGAGGCCGCCAGTTATTCAATGTGCGTGGTCCTCGATTCCTACTGCGGCATGCTCTGCAAGATAGCGCAAACATTTAGTTGGAATTCTTCGGGAGGGATTGCAGGTTAAAGGAGCCTGCAAAAGGAGGGATCAACCCCATTAATTACAGGAACATGGCATAACAGAGCTTAAAGTCCGAACAGAGAACTGCTCTGAACCGTTGTTTGAGATTTCTTTTTTGCCTGGTGCAGGCGGCGGGCCAGGCCGGGCAAAAAATGCCCTTCCCTCTCGTTTCATTCGGTGCTTTGTCTGGCCCCGTTGCAGGCACCTGAGTGCACCCTGCAGCAGCGTTGCTGCGGGGTGCGCTGGGTATGGGCCGAGGTGCCTGCGGATTGTTCTTGCAGGAGTCCTGTGCCTGCCAATCCTAGCACATGAGGTCGGGGAAGTTTTGAGGTGAGATAGGTGAAAGGGTGGTTGGACCGCACGCTGCCGCATCTCACAGCTCCCTTTTCTTATCGCTATTGGTTGCTTCGCGCTCAGCTCTGCCTGTTGGTCTCAAACGCCTTCTGATGCTTCGGGCAATTCGAGCTGTTGAACGAGCTTGGTCAGATTTTAGAGATAATGCATGATCCTGCACGGGGCTCAACTCTCAGATGCATGGGCTGAGCCTCCACGCAGAGATTGCACGGAGATGAATCTGCTCTGTTAGGATAGCTTGGTGCATGTTGGTGCTAAGTCCCTTTTCTTCCTCGCAAATTCGCAAGTCCGTGAGTTGTATTGTTTCTTGGTGCAGAGCAGCGCGTCTCTTCATAGACTCCCGAGAGCTTAATCATTGAGGAAAGTGCGTTAACGTAAGGCTAGTTGCTGCTTGCAGTTGCCTGCGTGTGATCATGACAATTGGCATGCCCCAACGGTGATAGGACAAGAGTTCAGATGCCGAGGTTTGCTGGCTCAAGCAGCATGGTCGCCTTTTGGCGACGAGAAATTTTGTTGAATCGTTGAACGGTTCTTGATTCGGGAATTCCTGAAGATGGGCATTGCTTACGGGTGCCAGAGCTGTGACGCCCACATCGAGGTCCTGGCTGAAGTGGCCCAGAAGCCGCCTGAGTCGCCTGAGCAGTTTCAGAGCGATTCGAGAATCAGCAGCAAACGGATGCAAGTGAAGAGATGTTCGATTGATATCGATCCAGACATCACGCGAGGGATTTTCTTGAAGGACACTCTCAGAAATGCGGGTCGCCTCTGGTATTGGTCTCCCTCTAGTCTGCCAGAGCAGGAGAGGGCCTCCTTGTGGAGCCGATCGCACCCGGTGGAGCGATTCGACTTGTTTCTATCACACACGTGGCAAACGCGGGGACGCTGGAAGTTTCTTTCCTTGTCCTTGCAGTTTGGCTGCTATTTTGCTTGACCGTCTGGATCGTGGTGGTGGCTCTGGTGGAGTTGCTGTTTATGGGGGATGTCCTTCCGCCACAATTCAACCATGCAACATCCATCCAAGACTATGATCTTAGCATCCCTTTTGGTGGATGGGCTGTGTGTCTCCCTGTCCCCGCCTCAATCCTTGGCCTCCTTCTTTATCCCTACATTCCAGATTTCGGCTGCAAGAAGCAACCCTGCTGCTTTCTGGACGTGGTCAGCATCCATCAAACCGACAAAGAGAAGATGGAACGCGGGATTTACGGGCTTGGTGGCTTTGTCAGCGCTTCCAAGGAGCTCCGAATCCTGTGGAGCCAGCCCTACCTCTCCAGGCCCAGTTGCTATGTTTAGGGTTTGAAGTTTAGGAGTTTAGGGTTTAGGGTTCAGGGTTAGGGTTTAGGGTGCTTTGCCAAATGTTGTACTTTTGCAGTCTTTGCTCAGATGTAGCAGTCGTGCAGGAAACAGCCGAAAGAAGCAAGGAGAAAGTGGACAAGCGATTGGAAGCAAAACGACCAGCAACAAAAAGGGAAGAGAAACTGATGAGGCGAATTGGACTGGAAAGCACAAGACAAGACAAGAACCTGCACACCAAGAATTGCCAACGGAAGAAGACTTAACAGGTATCATGCTTCGAGAGTAGGCGCAAAGTCTCATTGCTTGGAGCACGGGCTACTTGTAGGACGCTGACTGTGCAAACTTCATGGACTGCAAGAGAGACAACAAGTTTTCCTTTGCCGCAGTTAACATTTAAAAATTACTACAGCTGAACATATCCTATTGTTGACACACAACTGTAAACCAAAAGCGAAGCAAACAGATCCGGGAAAAAACAAAAAACACAAAACCCTATGGCAATTTTAAACCACAGCGAGCAGGCTTTGGTGCGTCTTTGAGTTGGCGGCTTTCCGGACCGCCAATCCTCAGAGCAAGATACATTTGGCTCCGCTTAACATCGAGGCAGTTGTCGCGGCATCCTTCCTCTGTTGTTTCATACTGGTGGTGATCGCTTTGCCCCTTATGCCTTCAGCAGAATTTCGTCTCAGCAGTGGAGTTACGGCTGTCTTTATTCCGGCGCTTGTGCCAGCTGCAGCCATCTTTCATGTCCTTCGCAAAAGCCTGACCTTGAAGCGACAGCTTTTCTCTGAGCTAGACGCGTTCGATTTGAACCAAGTAAGTTGCAGAGAGGAGAGAGGATTTTGACAAGAAGTTCATTCACGAAGCGATTGTGCAGTGGTATGGAAGCTTGGACGAATTCACTGCTTATGTGAGAGGTCCACTCCGCAAAGAACTATTGGCAGACCACTCTGGAACAAGCCTACCCTTGCAATACACCTTGATGATTGTGACTCCCATAGTAAGCCTTGGCATCGATGTGATAACGGCGCACATCAAGGCAGGCACGCCTTCTCACATGGTGCTGTCCTACGGCTTTGGTATGGTGCTCGGCAATTACCTGAGCTACGCGATGTTTCTGTTCTGGTTTGGCATGTTTCTGTGCAGTCATTCCCACCAGTCAAAGCTCCACTGCTCAGCATACTTCAGTCCTTGGGTTTTTTCATCGTCTGGATTGTGGTGATTATGGCCGGACTGATGGCTGCCTGGTATATCTACAGTAGAAGCTTGCTGGGCTCAGTCTTATACTGTCTCACCACTCTCGTGCTCACTTGCTCCACGCACGGGACTCTGAAGATGCCTTGGCAGGAGAAGATCTTGATGTTTTTCAAGGGCATTCATCATGCTCGCCACACGGAAGAAGCCGAAAGTGTGGAAGCAGTTTAATTCAGGTAAACGGTCAGGGGGCTGTTGAAATTTGGCATTCAACCTGAAAAGCTTTGTGATCCAATGGTGCATTCCTGGTATAAGCCGTGAGTATGTCTGCACCGAAAGCAGCATCTCTAATTCAGTGCACATTTTTTCGCGAGTCGTGTTGTTCAGACTTGCTGTAAATATGAAGTTTGGAGTTATGCTTTCCTGTACAGTCATGTGTTCCAGTGCAGAAGAAAGTCATGCTCGGTTGCTACATTCGTGCGGACTTCAGTCCTCCATGCCGGGGCTTGCCCAGTTTTCCACGACACGGACCCTCTACCAGTACGGATCTGTGTGGCTCAGGCAAATTCATGGGAATGAGTCGGAATGAGTAGTTCCTTTCACAGACGCAGGTTCACGAAGCTCTTCAGTCTCATAAGGTGCCATCCATACTGCACGGTCACGCGGTAGCACGGTGTATTCATCGCTCATGCCCGGTAGATGCTGAGAAGCTGCACGAGGCTCGATTCCTTGCAATGTGAGAAGGACGGGTCTTGACAGGTTCATGATCATGCGTGACCTGGAACTGAGGATGGCGGCGAAGAGCTGAGGACTCCAACGAAAGGTTTTCGGTGGTTTTGGGTTTAGGGGTTCAGGGATGGGAGCTGCGACGTCTGAAATTTGTCAATCTGAGCAGACATGCCCTAATTTTCTGGCTGCTTGAGTTGCTGCAGACGGGTTTTAACTCTTCCTTCCGGCCGTCATTTGGTTCAAGTTCATGTTTAGTTGTTTCCGTCGTCACTGCGCCGGTTGCTTTCACCACCCTGTGGTTTGCTGGTATGGGGCCTCGTCCAGCGATCCGATGTGCAGTCTGCTGCAGTATCATCGTGATCTTGTCGACCGGTTCGACAGGAACATCGGCGAAGGATTGCAGGCAAAGTGCCGGCAGCGAATCTGAAGATTGGCACGAAACCTCTTCGGAGCGGAGTTGTGTCACAGATTCACATGGTTCGGTGATGTTCGGGGAGGGCGAGTACAACAAGGCATCTCAGAGCCAGGCGGAGTCGCTGAAGCTGGTTTTGAGTGGTCTCTTGGAGGACATGAAAACTTGGAAGGGTAAGGTCAGTGAGATGGCCAGACTTCGAGTTGCCGACTACGGTTGCTCGCAAGGCAAGAGCTCGTTGCCAATCGTCTCTGCAGTGATTGCAGCAGGCGAGAGCACTCCGATAGATTTCTTTTTCACTGACCTCCCTCAGAATGATTGGGATTCGGCAAGGTTGCTGCTGCAATCCCTCGGGCATGTTGAACCAGCTGACAAAGCCAGCTTCCATTCCCCGGCTCTCCTACAGCCCTTCGTGGATGATGCCGAGGCCGGAAACCACTCGGTGCGCATGCTGATGTGCGGACGCAGCTTCTACGAGCAAGTGATCCCATCGAACTCCATCGACCTCGGATTTTCAGGTACTGCAATGCATTGGGTTTCCCATGCACCTAAGGGTTCTGGCTTCTTTTTTGGGGGCGATCTCTATTTTCGCAAGCTGGAGCGGAACAGTCCAATGCGACTGGAGTGGGAGAATCTTGCAGCCAAGGACTGGGAGAGCAATCTGAGATCTCGCAGTAAGGAGCTTGTCTCGGGTGGTTCTTTGCATTTTGTGGTTCCCGTCTTTGATGCTGAGTCACGCCCAAGTTACACGTATCAAAAGCTCGCCGACGTGATTATGGAGACTCTGCAAACCCTTCTGCGTCGTGGTGAGATCTCGCAGAAAGAGGCTGATGCCTTTGTGACACCAGTCTTCCTGCGGTCGCGCGAAGAGTTCGAGGCTCCGTTCCAAGGAGGAGCCTTCGAGGGGCTTGTGCTGGAGAGTTTCTCGACACATGTTCTCCCGAGTCCTTATTGGCAAACATCCCAGCAGGACCCCGAAAGGTTTGCGGACTCCTACGTTCGCAGTGTGAGAGCGTGGAGCTACAACAGCTGGATCTCAAAGCTTGCCGCCGTCAGCCATCAGGCAGACACCATCGTCCAAAAGCTTTACAGGGCCATCAACGAGGGCATCATGAAGAACCCGCAGGATTTTCGCAGGGACTACGTGCAGGCGTACATGACGCTCCGTAAGCTGTAAGATGCTCCTGAGTTAGCTGTTGACCTGCTGAAGGCTGAAGTACTTGGCTTGTAGCCTTCGGCCCGGTATTTTCCCTGGTGGTTTTCCTTTTACGGGTCTGTTGGGACACCGTGTTCTTCCCTGGGGACCATCGGAATTTTTGCATTTAGTTTAGTGTAGTAGCCATTGTCTTGGCTGTTTTGCCCGACTCAGAAGTGGAATGTGTAGTGTGGTGTCGCACGCAGTGTGCTCACAGCATATATCTGCGCACCCCTGAGCGGCAGATTGCACAAGCGCACAAGGCAAAAAAACTCCACAACGTGGCGCACACCGTGTGACCAGGTTTAGCAATCCCCCTGATCAAATGCTGGGTGGGTGCGGAGGCAGTGTTTTCTGTACCAGGAACACCACAGCTGGCCGACTCCGACAAGAGCTGCCTTCCGCGGCCAGCAGAGGGCTCTTCAATAACTATGGTGATTTATTCTATCTGATATACAATCTAAAGACTACGATATTCTATTAGTGCTCGTGTTGGGTGGGAGATTCAAGTCTTTAAGCGGTATGTCGTATGTGTATCTACGTAGATGGTATTTTATTGACCGCATTTAGTTTCAGTGAAGTCACTACAAATCTCTTCCGTTTTTTTCCGCCACTCCATACTCGGACCCTACCTACACCCCAATTCTTAAATTGTAGAATGTTGCGAACTTCATAGTAGTATTTGAATTCTTGTGCCCTAGTATATGTATGTATGTATATATATATAATATGGATAGATGGCGTTCGCTCACGGTGTTGGTGGGCCTTGAGTCACATAGGAGGTGTCCGCCTTCCGCGCGGCTCACGCGGAGTTTACATGCATGTACCACTATACAACATAAAGTTTTGTAGTCGTAGTCGTCGTAGTAGTAGTAGCAGTAGTAGCAGCAGTAGTAGTAGTAGTAGCAGTAGTAGTAGTTCCATAGGAGCCGTAGTAGCGGTAGCAGAAACACTAGTAGTAGTACTTGTAGTAGTAGTAGTAGTAGTAGTAGTAGTAGTTAGTATTAGTAGTAGTAGTAGTAGTAGTAGTATACACGAATCTCGGGTAGGAGAGCCCGTAATGAAATTTATAAAATGAGTATTGAGACGGCATTCTTTTTGATTTCTATGGATACGTTATTTTGGGAAACACTGACCGGGATATATTAATATAGCCGACATATTCACCGCAAATTATTGTTGGCATATCCTACATCTTATAGGATTACATCTCAGAAAATAAATGTAGATGGGGGGCAGAGCTCTCCGGCACCGCTGCACTGTGTTGGGTGGTATTGTATATTGAGGAGAGGGGGTTGTAAAGCCCTATCTTAATTAAAGTATTCTATAAATGCTATTATATTAATTCATTAAATACACATGAAGAGAACAGGAACGCTAAAGATCGGAACATATTGAGATAGAGGGACATTTCTATATATGAATTAATAATATTGAATTTCTTTTCGATCTAGAATAAATTATTCGTGGATTCGGAACTCGCAATCGTAAATTAATAATATCGGAAAAAGTAATATTTAGAGCCTTCTAAATTTCGGGAAGACAAAAAGGGATTTATAATTCGATTTGGTGAGAGTTTGAATACTCCTATAAACCGCCGCGGTCACTTGTGTCCTTGGGGCTTGCGCGTGGCCTAGCTTTTCCGGCTTCGCCTTCTGCGGCCTCTTGCAGGCCCGGCTTGGGGCTCTAAATGTTCCAAACATTTGCGGCCCCACGGAAATGGCTGGGGCTCTAAATGTTCGGAAAATTTCCGTCGCGGGCGGTCGATTAAAATATTCGGAATATTTTGGTCGCGTCTTGCGGGCCTAGCGTATTTGGGATATAACTCTAGTTTTGGAGTTCACAGACCGAGCAAGGCGATCCAAACCCGGGGCCGGTCTGGTTCGTGTCCGGTTTTTGTCCGGGTTCGTGTTTATAGGATATTAAGGTAAATATTGAATTAGAAGGATTTATTATAGTGATATATAAGTAGTTTGGGGGTATCTGTGTAGCGAATGATTATTTTGTAGTGATAATAATACGAAAAAAAGTAATCGTATAATAAGAATGATTAATATTTGAAGAAGAGCATCGAAAACTAAAAAAAGACATTAAATTTGATTATTCTTTTAATATAAAATATTTATTCTACGATAATTAATAGGTGATTTTTATGATTTGCTTTTGATAATTATGATATATTTTTTATTTCTAATTTGATATTGGAAGTATTATTTGAATATTTATAATTATGATCTATAAATTTGATAGGATTTGCTTTTTTTATTTTTTATAAATGAATTGATCGAAATATATAATATAAAATGGGTTGTGATT